GTCTGAGGTCAGATTTGAACTCAGGTCCTCCTGACTTCAGGGCTGGTGCTGTATCCACTGCGCCACCTAGCTGTCCCCCATCTCTTGCTTTCTTGTCCAGTACCTTGATGCCTGGACCAGAGACCATGCCTTAGATGTTTTTAACCCTTTCATCTCTGAAATTACTGCCCTATGGTCCCACTGTCCTGACTAGTGACTGTCCAACCTGAACCTGATTTCAGGCAGACCCAAGGCCTGCTTCACTTAACTTCCTATTTCAAAATCTTTTCACTGATTGATACTTTCCAATCCTACCCTCTCCCTCTACAGTTTTAGAACTATAATCAAATTTACTCTTACATTCCAGAAAAGGTGTATTATCAACCTACTCTATTATTCCCCCTTTCACCATCAGTCTGGTAGATAACTTGTCCTGCATCAAAATGTCTTTTTCTGGCTACTAGTCCTCTATGTCTATTTTTCCCTATTAGAATTTATACTCCATGAAGAAAGGTTCTGTTCCTGCTTCTGTATTTTTATCCCCATTGTTTGGTACAATGCTTGGCACAAAGCCTTAATAAAGGCTTTTCTATACATTCATTCATTCTTCACACAGCCACCATTTTTTCCAAAGCACAATTCTGTCCATGTAACTTCCCTGCTCAAGAGTCTTCAGTGGCTCCCTATTGCCTCAAGGGAAAAACTATAACCTAACTTGCTTGGAATTTAAAATTCTTCTCAATTTGTCTCCAGCCTATTCTTCAAAGTTGAACTCTAATTTATTTCCCTCAAATATCCTAAAATTCTAATTTTCACCATACATGTTTTTCCATCTCCTACTTCTATAATTTGATACAGGTTGCCTTCAATGCTTGGAATATTCCTTTCCTCAACTTTTGTCTCTTGGAAACTCCCTTTTAAGAAAAATTTAGGTACTACCTCCTATCTGAAGTTTTTCTGATTTCTCTCCCCAACGCCAGTTGTTGGTGTTATCCTCTTTCTGAAATATCCTATTTTATGTACTTTATATTTACTTTTCTATGTACATATTGTATCTCCCTAAAGAACAGAAGTTACTTGGAGAAAGGGATTATTTTGTTTTTTTTCTTCCTGTCCAATATGTCTTACAAATATTAGGGGCTTAATAAATGCTTATTGAACTGAATAGGAAGCCTTTGAACAGAGCATTTAAAAATTATGTCTGCAAAAATTATGTATTTAAAGGTGCTTAATCTGGAAGTAGTAAGAAGGAAATTTTCATGGAAGGAAAAGACTGGAGGCAAGAAGAAAACTTCTGGGGCCATCCGAATTGTCTATGTAGTTTGGAATGAGTTTTTAGAAGTAGGTGTGTGGTATAGTGAATAGAGTCAGGAAGTTTGAGTTCAAATTCAGCCTCAGACTCTTCCTAGCTGTGTGATCCTGGGCAAGTCACTTTATCATGGTCTGCCTCATTTTAGTCAACTCTAAAATGAGGATAAGATTACTACCTACCTCCCAGGGTTGTTGTGAGGAATAAATAAGATGATGTTTGTAAAGCCCCTAGCATAGTGCCTGAATTAGAGTAGCTGATTAAGAATATTTATTTTCTTCCTTCTATATTGAGAATGTGGTAGAAATGAGGTGAAGAAGGTGAAGCAGATTGTGGAGGAGGAAATAAAAATGCTTGACAATTGATCATGGAGATATTAATAGAGAGAAATTAAAGACCATACAAGTTTTGCACATGAAGTACTGGGTAAATTCTGGTTTCAGGGACAGAAATGAGGAAGATAGTGGGGGAAACAGCTTGTGGAGAAAAAGGAGTTTGGTTTGGACGTGGTGAACATGAACTCCAGTGGAGCATTCATGAGGATGTCTCAAAGGCAGTCTGAAGTACTTACCTGACATTCAGTGGAAATGTCAAGATTAGAGGCATAAGAGTGTCTGAGAATGCTGGGAATGAGGAAGAGCTAGGGAAAAATCTCTTAGTTGGTGAACTTTGAAATAGTAGTTTAGTAAGGTGAACAGAATCCATGTAGCAAAAGGTTGAGAAAGGAAGTAGAGACATATGATATAGACTATTTTCCCCACCTCCCCCCAAGAAATGTGGCTGCGTTGGAGGAAACAAATGAGATGGTAGATGAATAGGTTAAAAATGGCAATCAAAGATCACCTACCCAGCAAAATTGAGTATAATTATTTAGGGGAAAAATAGATATTCAATGAAATAGAGAACTTTCAAGTATTCTTGATGAAAAGACCAGAGGTGAATAGAAAATTTGACTTTCAAATACAAGATGCAAAAGAAGCATAAAAAAATCACAAGGGATTCCAATAAGGTTAAACTGTTTATATTCCTACATGGTGAAATGGTATTTATGACTCCTAACTCTTTTTCATTATAAGGGCAGTTAGAAAGAGTATATATAGACAGAAAGGAGAAGTATGAGTTGAATGTGATGGTATGATTATCTAAAAAAAGTAAAATTAAGGGCTGAGAAAGAAGGATGAACTGGGAGAAGGAGAAAGAGAGAGTTAGAATGGGATAAATTATCTGACATAAAAGAGCCCTGAAAGACATTTTATAGTGAAAGGGAAAATGGGGGAAGCAGGGAGGGGAGCTCATGAACCTTACTCTCTTTGGAATTGGCTCAAAGAGGGAATAATATACACACTCATATGGGTGTAGAAATTTGCCTTTCCACACAGGAAAGTAGGAAGGGAAGGAGTCAAGAGAAAGGTGGCAAAGCTGATAGAAGGGAGGGCAGTTCAGGGAAGGTAAAAGTCTGAAGCAAAACACTTTTGAGAATGGACAGAGTAAAAGGAGAGAGAGAGAGAGAGAGAGAGTAAGATAAACAGGGGGGAAATAAGATGGAGGGAAATAAGTAGTTGGTAATCATTACTGTGAAAAAAATTCTCTGATAAAGACTTCATTTCTCAAACATAGATAAAATGAAGTCAAATTTAGAGAAATAAGAGCCATTCCTCAATTGATTAATGATCAAAATATGTGAAGGTCGTTTTCAGACAAAATAATCAAAGATATATATATATATATATATATATATATATACATATATATATACACATATATATGTATATATATATATATATATAGTCATGTAAAAAATGCTCTAAATCACTACTTATGATAGAAATGCCAATTAAAGCCACTTTGAGCTACCACCTCACGCCTGTCAGATTGGCTAACGTGACAGAAAAGGAAAATGAGAAGGGGATGTGGGAAAATTAAAACACTAATGTATTATTGGTGAAGCTGTGTACTGATTCAGCCATTTGGAACTGTGGACAAAGGGCTGTAAAGCCAAGCATACCCCTTGACCAAGCAATACTGCTACTAGGTCTCTATCCCAAAGAAATAATAAAAAAAAAAAACAAGAAGCAAAGTTACTTATGTGTACAAAAATATTTTTAGCAGCTGTGTTAGTGGTGCCAAAGAATTGAAAATTGAGGGGGTGTCCATCAATTAGGAAATAGCTAGACAAGATTGTTGCAGATGATTGTGATGGAATACTATTGCACTTTAAGAAATGATGAGCAAGATATTCACAGAAAAACCTGGAAAGACTTACATGAACTGATGTGAAATGAAATGACCAGTACTGGGAGAACACTACACAATAACAGCAATATTATATGATGATCCACTATGAATAACTTAACTATTCTCAGCAATACAATGATCCAAGACAATTTTGTAGGACTTATGATGAAAAATGCTATCCATCCTCATAGAAAGAACTAGTAGAGACAGAATACAGATCAAAGACACTTTTTATTTATTTTATTTTTCTTCTTTTTTTCCTGTCTGTGTTTTCTTTCACAGATGACTTATATGGATATATGTTTTGCATGACTACACATATGTAACATGTCATATTGTTTGCTTTCTCAATGAGGGGTAAGAGAGGGAGTGAAAGAATGTGGAACTCAAAATTAGAAAAAAAGAATGTTGAAATTGTGATTGCATATAATTGGGAAAAATAAAATATTAAAGATTTTTAAAAAGTCACAATCTTTCTGATCCTCAATATATTCGGTATTAAAAAATTGAGATGATAAAGAGAATAAATGGGAAGGCAGGATAGGATTAAGGGAAATAGAGTTAGTTTTTCACAACATATCTACTATGGAAGTGTTTTGCATAACTGCACATGTATAACCTATACTGAGTTGCTTACCTTTTCAATGAAGGTGGGTGGGGAGGGAGGAAGGGAGAAAATTTGGAACCCAAAGTTTTAAAAACATATGTTTAAAAAAATGTTTTCACATGCAACGGGGAAATAAGAAATACAGGAAATAGGGTACAGAAGTCTAACCTGCCCTACAGGAAAATAGAAGGGGAAGGGGATAAGAGAAGGCGGGGAGAGATAGAAGAGAGGGCAGAGTAGGGGAAGGGATATTCAGAATGCATGCCATCTTGGGGTGGGGGGAGGGTGAGAGGGGTTGAAAATTTGGAACTCAAAATCTTGTGGAAGTAAATATTGAAAACTAAAAATAAATAAATTTATATTTAAAAAAACAAAAAAAAATTTAAAAATGAACAGGTCATTTAAAAAAATGGAGATAATAATATACCAATATCCTGCCTGTTATACATGGTTACAATGAGAATGATGTGAGATAATGGATATAAAGTGATTTCTAATTATAAAAGGATACATACATATGACCTAATAGTCTCTATATCTTCTCCCAATAGTCCCAGAACAGGAAAACAGGAATATAACATGGTTTGTAGCCATAACTCTTCATATTCTTTCAGTAGACCCATCAACAAGATGAAAAGCAGAAACCTCACTTCAGTGACTGAGTTCATCCTCCTTGGCCTCTCCAGCCAGACTGAGCTCCAGGTGCATCTCTTCCTGTTCTTCCTCATGCTGTACCTGATGATCTTGCTGGGGAACCTGCTCATTGTGTTGCTGATACTGAGAGATTCTCACCTCCACACACCTATGTACTTCTTCCTTACTAATTTATCCATTCTAGAAATTTATTGTACATCCTGTGTTTTTCCACAGATGTTGGTACATTTCTTTGCAGAAAGAAAGTCCATTCCTACTCATGCTGTGTCATTCAGGTCTGCACATTCCTGTCCTTTGGCATTGCAGAGTGCTATATCCTCTCAGTGATGGCCTATGACCGCTATGTTGCCATTCGAGACCCTTTAAGGTACTCAGTCACAATGAACTGGGGTATTTGTAGGAGGCTGGCTGCTGGGTCTTGGTTGGGTGGCTTTTTGGCATCTACAGTGGATACAGTAACCACATTCCAGCTGTCCTTCTGCCAGGATAATGTTATCAATCATTTCTTGTGTGAAATGCCTGCTCTACTGCACCTCTCTTGTACTGACACAACCCATGCAGAGTTGGTCATGCAGGTCCTCTGTATCTTTACTCTTTTGTGCCCTATCACATTCATCATCCTTTCCTATGCACACATCATCATTGCTGTCTTGAGAATTCGCTCTGCCCCGGGACGTAGAAAAACCTTCTCTACTTGCTCTTCCCACCTTTTAGTTGTCACCCTATTTTTTGGGACTGTAATGTCTCTTTACTTAAAGCCTAAGTCTCTGTCCTCTCCAGAATACAATAAGATTGTTTCAGTGTTTTATGTGGCTTTCACACCTACTCTCAACCCTCTCATCTATAGCTTGAGAAATAAGGAGGTGAAAATGGCCCTGAGAAAACTTTTGGGGAAACCTGAAGGTGCTTAATTCCACATATAGTATTCATGAGTCCACATGAGGAAAACTTGAGCCCAAACAGCGTCCTTATTGTTCTTCCACAAGTTTCTATTGTGTCTCTTCTTGTGCCTGGAATCTCAACCTCTTATTTTCATTCAGCCTTTTCTCTTGGCACTTTAGGAGCCATCTGAACTCCAGGATCCCCCTCACTATTTTTCCCTTGGCAAATAAATTAATTACTGTTAATTTCCCCAAACCACCATAGGTTTTAATTCAGACATTATTACATTTTGGCATATTGAGAATTATTTCACTATAAATTAGTTATAATGATTATCATAATTGGCAGAACCATAGCTAGTATTTTGGAAGTTGGGGCAATTTGTTTTTGGGTATAGAGGCTGGTTGGGAATACCAATCCCCAAGAGCAGAGGAACGTTATTTTTATTTGTTTTTCTGGGAGAAGCAGGTGGTGGAAGAGGAGCTTACCTGGGGAATAGGTGGGATATTATGGAGAAGTCATAGAATCTTTGTGGCAGCTTCTTAATTTAACTATTTCTAACTCTTTCTAACTTAGTTCTAATTTCAGTTTTTTAAGTGTAACTGCTACCAGTGCCCTCCAGTTTTGCCACTGCAGGGCAGTGCCCTGAGCACACTGTTTTAGTTACAACCCTTGTACCTAGAGTTTTTACTTAGACTTTTGAGCTTCTTGAAATGTCTGCTTGGATCCTATGCTTGAAAACAAGAGACTCATAAAAATCAATTATAAAGTTTATAGTGATTTCATTGTTATTGTTTTTCAGTTGTTTCAGTCATGTCTGATGCTTGGTGACCCTATTTCTGGTTTTCTTGGCAATGATACTGTAGTGGTTTGCTGTTTCCTTCTCTACTTCATTTTACAGATGAGGAAACTGGGACAAACAGTGACTTGCCCAAAGTCACACAGCTAGTATCAGAGGTCAGATATGGACTCAGTAAGATGAATCTTCTGACTTTAGGTGCAGTGTTCTATCCACTATGCTACGTAGCTGCTCCATTGAAGTTTTATTTTTGTTGTTGTTAGTTGTTTCCAATTGTGTCTGACTGTTTATGACCCCTTTGGGGGTTTCCTTGTCAAAGTATTGGAGTAGTTTTCCATTTACTTCATCAGCTCATTTATAGATGAGGAAACTGAGGCAAATAGGGTTAAGTGAGTTGCCCAGGGTTATACAGATATTAAATGTTTGAGGCTGGATTTGAACTCAAGTCTTTCTCTCAATTCAAGCCTGGCATTTTATCCACTGAGCAAGGCTCTGAGATCACTTTCCCAACGACAACTCCAATTGCACTTTGGGTGCCCAGAGAAACACTACTGCTCCACCCAGTGTTCTAGTCATATCTCCACGCATTAAGGATATCTTCACTAGTGTTATCATTCTTGAGCCTCAGTCTAGTGTGTTCCCCCCAATCCCACAGGTTTCAGTTAGTATCTCACCAATATCATTTGACAAGTTGCTATCTCCTCAGTATTATTGATATCTAATCAACATCACTTTTGTAAAGTAGTGTTTTTGGAGACTGCTGGGTAATTCAGTGTATAGAGTGCTGAGCCTGGACTTAGGAAGACCTGAGCTCAAATCCAGCCACAATAACAACAACAAAAAAGCCACCTGAAAGGAAGCTGTCATAGAATACTAATGCATACTCTGAAGTGGAGGCCAAAACTCTCCATTACATATTTCACAAGTAGGATCACCAAGAGTCCATTTGGTTTGATATCGGGCAAAGTGCTGTGCATGCTCCACAAAGGAAACCCTCATTATTTTGCCATATGTTATAATTATTTGCAAGTAGAATGTATAATAGAATAACATGGAAATAAATATCATAATTTTGAAAAAGAATGGATGTGCTCACTCATAAATTGTAAGAGTTAGTTGAATTGATTAGAAAGTAAAATCCAATAATATATTGCTTACAAGAAACACATTTAAACGTTAAAACCTCAAGATTCAATTTAGATAATGGATTGCAACATAGTCTAGTATGCCTCAGCTGAACACTGGATTTTACCTCATTACTACTCTCTGCTCTTCTGATCGATAAGTGGAGTCATGAAGTCTAAAAACTGCATTTAAGGAAGGAGATCAGCTCAGAATATCTCATTTCTTAATTGCTACACTATGAAAGCATATCTCTGACTTTCTCTACTATGCTCTGGTGCTGGCTACCTTTCCCACATCTCTTCTTTTCAGTTTCCTTTTGTGTATTGTGTTCCCTCATTAGATTACAAAGTCCTTGAGAGCAGGGAATATCTTTTTTTTCATATTTGTATCCCCATTAACATAGTTCCTAGCACATAGTAAGTGCTTAATAAATGGTTATTAACTATTGACTCTAGTACTGAAGAATGAAATGAACAGAATCAGAAGAACAGTTTATGGAGCAGAAAAAAATATGTGAAGAGAACTTGGAAAGCTGTAAGAACTGTCATCAATGCAGTGACCACCTTTGATTCCAGAGGAATGATGAAGAAATATGTCATCTATTACAGAAAGATGTTAGATTACTGTGAGCAAACAGTATGAACTTTGTGTCCCTAAGATATCAGTATCTGGCAGTTTGCCTAGATCATACCTTGGTAGCTCATAAATGTTCATTTTTTTTTCCTTTTAGCTTTTTAAGCAGACGCAGACATACTGACTTATTGTGAGTTCCTTAAGGAATGTATGTTCATGTGATAAGTTTTGCCTATTAGCCTAGTGAGCTTGAATAACCAAATCTAAAAGCATAACCCTGTTTTATTAAGAGCATAAGGCAGTTTTACATAACACTTTCCATGTGTTTGAGACTTACCTGACCCTTTTCTTTCTTTTTTGACCTTGCCTATTGTTCTTATTGAGGGATGAGTGTGAAATTCCATTAAGATTACACTTGCGTTTGACTGTTTGATTGACAAAATGAGCACATTGAATGGGGGCTTTTAAACAACAATCCCAGAAAACCCAAACCCCTCAGGGTTAGCCCTAGAATACTGAGATTAGCTATAATCAGTTGACCTCTGGTAACCCAACCTACCTATGCTAGAACATGTTGGTTGAGGGAGCCCAGAAAGGATGCTTGTCTACCAAAATATAAAATTCCCAAACTAACAGAGCTCCAAATAAAAACAAGAAAAGAAAATCGAAATGGTTTGAAAGAAACTACAAAAGAAAATAAAACTCTTATCCAGATGGATTTATAAGACAATTCTGTCAAACTTTTAAATAACAATTAATGCCTACACACAAATTATTGTAAAAAATTGAGAAAGAGAATCCTGACCAAATCCTTTAATGAGACAAACATAGTCCTAATAACTAAACCAGGGAAGGACTAAGCAACATAAGAGAAATAGAATCAAAACAATTAATGAATATAAATTCATTTTTAAAAGAAAATTCCTAGCAAAAAGACCACAGTACATGGTATTCAAATTAGATTTATATCATGACAGCAAGGATGCTTCCACAGGAGCACATTTAATGTAATCATATTGAAATCCCCAAATAGCCAATATCACATGATTATATGAATAGATTTAGTAAAAGCCTTTGACAAAGTGCATTTTTATGCAAAAACCATCCAAATGATATGCATAATAAGACCTTTCTTTTGATATGATGAAAGTGTCTATCTTAATCCAAAAGCTAACATTACATGAAATGGGGAAATATTAAACGCTTTTCCAATGAGGAAAGAAAGGGAGCATGCCTCTTTCCCTTCCATTATTTTTCACAGTTCTAGAAATGCTAGCATTAGCATAAGAGAAGGTGAAGAAATACAAGCAAAGGAGAAATAAAATCATCTTTCACCTGAAAATGCTATGTTTTACCTTAAAAAATCCTCTGACACAGAAACCAGCTGAAACAATAGCTTAATAGAATTCCATGATGGAAAATGGAATCACAAATCAACCATATTTCTGCATAGTAATAACAAAATTCAAGAGCAAAAAACGGAATGGGATAAGCATTTATTAAATGTCTACTATGTGGCGGAGACTTTGCTAAGTGCTTTGAAAATATCTCCATTACTTCACACAACAATCCTGGGCGGTAGATACAATATTATCTCTATTTTGTAGTTGAGGAAACTGAGGTAGGAATAGGTTGAATGACTTGCCTAGAGCCATAAAGCTAGTGTCTGAAAGTGGATTTTAATTCAAGTCTTCCTGATTCTAGGCTCAGTGTTTCATTTGGTATGCCACCTAGCTATCTCTGAATAATAGCAACACAAGACCTTCTGAAGTTCAAAGGGTCAGGAGAATTTTGGGCTTCTCATCTTGCTATTGGCATCCTCGCACCATCACCCAGGTCAGCAGCAGCTGGCAGCAGTGTCTGCATTAGGAGTTGAGAAGAGAGTAGATATAATTTGAGGAGGCAGATTCTTTGATGGACAAGGCATCCAGGAAATAAAGCACATCACAACTAAAGGAACTTTTTGAGAATCTCATTAAAAAGAAAAACATTCAACAATCAAAGTATTTTGCTACATATACTTTCTAAGTTTGAGCCAAGATTTCTCTGAGCTCTCTGTATGTACTGGTGGGAAAGTGCATTCTATCCTTTGTGGGGGGGAAGTGTTATAAAACAACTCTTCTCATATACTACCTTAGTAAATATCTCTTCCTAAAGTCTAATTAAGTCTGGTTGCTTAATTTGCATCAACTATTAATAATGAAAGTAACATTCTAGAAAAGGGACTCATGCCAATAACACAAGAAACACACATGCAACACTTCCAAGGTATGCCTATGTCCCTGATGGGAAGATTGATCTGGAGGGCTCATTTTGCAGTTCAAGAGGAGTAGAGCTTATAGGGGCTACACACAGAAAAGAAGAGAAAAAATTCCAAAAAGAATCAGAGAGGTAGTATAGCTTGAAAAGTTACATTCTATTTCAATAGCCACTTGTACAAAATAGTATAGTTTCATGTGCAATCACCTTTTTTATTATTTGACTATGTTATGGAAATGCTTGTTTTATTTCATAAATTGAAAATAAAATAAA